TAAGTGAGGTAGAAGATAAAATGGTGGAAATAAATGAAGCAGAGAGGAAAAAAGAAAAAAGAATCAAAAGAAATGAGGACAACCTCAGGGACCTCTGGGACAATGTGAAACGCCCCAACATTCGAATCATAGGAGTCCCAGAAGAAGAAGACAAAAAGAAAGGCCATGAGAAGATACTCGAGGAGATAATAGCTGAAAACTTCCCTAAAATTGGGAAGGAAATAGCCACCCAAGTCCAAGAAACCCAGAGAGTCCCAAACAGGATAAACCCAAGGCGAAACACCCCAAGACACATATTAATCAAATTAACAAAGATCAAACACAAAGAACAAATATTAAAAGCAGCAAGGGAGAAACAACAAATAACACACAAAGGGATTCCCATAAGGATAACAGCTGATCTATCAATAGAAACCCTTCAGGCCAGAAGGGAATGGCAGGACATACTTAGAGTAATGAAAGAGAATAACCTACAACCTAGATTACTCTACCCAGCAAGGATCTCATTCAGATATGAAGGAGAACTCAAAAGCTTTACAGACAAGCAAAAGCTGAGAGAATTCAGCACCACCAAACCAGCTCTTCAACAAATACTAAAGGATCTTCTCTAGACAGGAAACACAGAAAGGTGGTATAAACGTGAACCCCAAACAACAAAATAAATGGCAATGGGACCATACCTATCAATAATTACCTTCAATGTAAATGGGTTGAATGCCCCAACCAAAAGACAAAGGCTGGCTGAATGGATACAAAAGCAAGACCCCTATATATGCTGTCTACAAGAGACCCACCTCAAAGCAAGGGACACATACAGAGTAAAAGTGAAGGGCTGGAAAAAAATATTCCACGCAAACGGAGACCAAAAGAAAGCAGGAGTCGCAATACTCATATCAGATAAAATAGACTTTCAAATAAAGACTGTGAAAAGAGACAAAGAAGGACACTACATAATGATCAAAGGATCAATCCAAGAAGAAGATATAACAATTATAAATATATATGCACCCAACATAGGAGCACCGCAATATGTAAGGCAAACGCTAACGAGTATGAAAGAGGAAATTAATAGTAACACAATAATAGTAGGAGACTTTAATACCCCACTCACAACTATGGATAGATCAACTAAACAGAAAATGAACAAGGAAACACAAACTTTAAAGGACACAATGGACCAGCTAGACCTAATTGACATCTATAGGACGTTTCACCCCAAAACAATCAACTTCACCTTTTTCTCAAGTGCACACGGAACCTTCTCCAGAACAGATCACATCCTGGGCCATAAATCTAGTCTTGGTAAATTCAAAAAGGTTGAAATCATTCCAGTCATCTTTTCTGACCACAGTGCAGTAAGATTAGATTAATTACAGGAAAAAATTACTAAAACTTCAAACATATGGAGGCTAAACAACACGCTTCTGAATAACCAACAAATCATAGAAGAAATCAAAAAAGAAGTCAAAATATGCATAGAAATGAATGAAAATGAAAACACAACAACCCAAAACCTATGGGACACTGTAAAAGCAGTGCTAAAGGGGAAGATTCATAGCATTACAGGCCTACCTCAAGAAACAAGAAAAAAGTCAAATAAATAACCTAACTCTACACCTAAAGCAACTAGAGGAGGAAGAAATGAAGAACCCCAGGGTTAGTAGAAGGAAAGAAATCTTAAAAATTAGGGCAGAAATAAATGCAAAAGAAACTAAAGAGACCATAGCAAAAATCAACAAAGCTAAAAGCTTGTTTTTTGAAAAAATAAACAAAATTGACAAACCATTAGCAAGACTCATTAAGAAACAAAGGGAGAAGAACCAAATTAACAAAATTAGAAACGAAAATGGAGAGATCACAACAGACAACACCGAAATACAAAGGATCATAAGAGACTACTACCAGCAGCTCTATGCCAATAAAATGGACAACTTGGAAGAAATGGACAAGTTCTTAGAGAAGTATAACTTTCCAAAACTGAACCAGGAAGAAATAGAAGATCTTAACAAAACCATCACAAGCAAGGAAATCGAAACTATAGTCAGAAATCTTCCAGCAAACAAAAGCCCAGGACCAGATGGCTTCACAGCTGAATTCTACCAAAAATTTAGAGAAGAGCTAACACCTATCTTACTCAAACTCTTCCAGAAAATTGCAGAAGAAGGTAAACTTCCAAACTCATTCTATGAGGCCACCATCACCCTAATTCCAAAACCAGACAAAGATGCCACAAAAAAAGAAAACTACAGGCCAATATCACTGATGAACATAGATGCAAAAATCCTTAACAAAATTCTAGCAAACAGAATCCAACAACATATTAAAAAAATCATACATCATGACCAAGTGGGCTTTATCCCAGGAATGCAAGGATTCTTTAATATCTGCAAATCAATCAATGTAATACACCACATTAACAAATTGAAAGATAAAAACCATATGATTATCTCAATAGATGCAGAAAAAGCCTTTGATAAAATTCAACATCCATTTATGATTAAAACTCTCCAGAAAGCAGGAATAGAAGGAACATCCCTCAACATAATAAAAGCTATATATGACAAACCCACAGCAAGCATCACCCTCAATGGTGAAAAACTGAAAGCATTTCCCCTGAAATCAGGAACAAGACAAGGGTGCCCACTCTCACCACTACTATTCAACATAGTTTTGGAAGTTTTGGCCACAGCAATCAGGGCAGAAAAAGAAGTAAAAGGAATCCAGATAGGAAAAGAAGAAGTGAAACTCTCTCTGTTTGCAGATGACATGATCCTCTACATAGAAAATCCTAAAGACTCTACCAGAAAATTACTAGAGCTAATCAACGAATACAGTAAAGTTGCAGGATATAAAATTAACACACAGAAATCTCTTGCATTCCTATACACTAACAATGAGAAAACAAAGAGAAATTAAGGAAACAATACCATTCACCACTGCAACAAAAAGAATAAAATACTTAGGAGTATATCTACCTAAAGAAACAAAAGACCTATACATAGAACACTATAAAACACTGATGAAAGAAATCAAAGAGGACACAAACAGATGGAGAAATATACCGTGTTCATGGATTGGAAGAATCAATATTGTCAAAATGGCTATACTACCCAAAGCAACCTACAGATTCAATGCAATCCCTATCAAACTACCAACGGTATTTTTCACAGAACTAGAATGAATAATTTCACAATTTGTATGGAAATACAAAAAACCTCGAATAGCCAAAGTAATCCTGAGAAAGAAGAATGGAACTGGAGGAATCAACCTGCCTGACTTCAGACTAGACTACAAAGCCACAGTCATCAAGACAGTATGGTACTGGCACAAAGACAGAAATATAGATCAATGGAACAGAATAGAAAGCCCAGAGATAAATCCACGAACCTATGGTCACCTTATCTTCGACAAAGGAGGCAAGGATATACAATGGAAAAAAGACAACCTCTTTAACAAGTGGTGCTGGGAAAACTGGTCAACCACCTGTAAACGAATGAAACTAGAACACTTTCTAACACCATACACAAAAATAAACTCAAAATGGATTAAAGATCTAAATGTAAGACCAGAAACTATAAAACTCCTAGAGGAGAACATAGGCAAAACACTCTCCGACATAAATCACAGCAGGATCCTCTATGACCCACATCCCAGAATTTTAGAACCAAAAGCAAAAATAAACAAATGGGACCTAATGAAACTTAAAAGCTTTTGCACAACAAAGGAAACTATAAGCAAGGTGAAAAGACGGCCCTCAGATTGGGAGAAAATAATAGCAAACGAAGCAACAGACAAAGGATTAATCTCAAAAATATACAAGCAACTCCTCCAGCTCAACTCCAGAAAAATAAATGACCCAATCAAAAAAGGGGCCAAAGAACTGAACAGACATTTCTCCAAGGAAGACATACAGATGGCTAACAAACACATGAAAAGATGCTCAACATCACTCATTATCAGAGAAATGCAAATCAAAACCACAATGAGGTACCATTACACACCAGTCAGGATGGCTGCTATCCAAAAGTCTACAAGCAATAAATGCTGGAGAGGGTGTGGAGAAAAGGGAACCCTCTTACACTGTTGGTGGGAATGCAAATTAGTACAGCCACTATGGAAAACAGCATGGAGATTTCTTAAAAAGCTGGAAATAGAACTGCCATATGACCCAGCAATCCCACTTCTGGGCATACACACCGAGGAAACCAGATCTGAAAGAGACACGTGCACCCCAATGTTCATCGCAGCACTGTTTATAATAGCCAGGACATGGAAGCAACCTAGATGCCCATCAGCAGACCAATGGATGAGGAAGCTGTGGTACATATACACCATGGAATATTACTCAGCCATTAAAAAGAATTCATTTGAATCAGTTCTAATGAGATGGATGAAACTGGAGCCCATTATACAGAGTGAAGTAAGCCAGAAAGATAAAGACCATTACAGTATACTAACACATATATATGGAATTTAGAAAGATGGTAATGATAATCCTATATGCAAAACAGAAAAAGAGACATAGATGTACAGAACAGACTTTTGGACTCTGTGGGAGAAGGCGAGGGTGGGATGTTTCGAAAGAACAGCATGTGTATTATCTATAGTGAAACAGGTCACCAGCCCAGGTTGGATGCATGAGTCAAGTGCTCGGGCCTGGTGCACTGGGAAGACCCAGAGGAATTGGGTGGAGAGGGCCGTGGGAGGGGGGATCGGGATGGGGAATACATGTAACTCCATGGCTGATTCATGTCAATGTATGACAAAACCCACTGAAATGTTGTGAAGTAATTAGCCTCCAACTAACAAAAATAAATGAAAAAAAAAAAAATTTCCTATGTCTAGCACTCTGCAACAGATAGGAATACAGTGAGATCTCATTCAATATCTAGGGGAAGGAATTCATTTAAAAATCACCTTATGCTCTTTATTTTAGAGTAACAGATGAAGAGAGTGTTGACCAGCCATAGGACTGCATCTGGAACATGTATTATACTTACCGCAATGCTTCTGCATAAAAAAGATACTCCTTTAACTGATCCGCATAATGTTCTTCATCTTCCAAAATATCATCAATAGAAGATGCATATCTGTTTAAAAAATAATGTATATAGTAACTTTTATCAAGACACAAAATATTAATATTCTAAAGAGGAGCTATTCAAAGCATAGTCCACTGACCATTTGCTACCCATGAATGACCAAAGTACAAAAAATCTGAATAAGCTTTTAGAAACATTTATAGCAACTTTTTAATTGAAGTATACTTGATTTGCAATACTATGTTAGTTTCAGGTATATAGCAAAGTGATTCAATTACATATTTCTTTCTTTCAAATTTTCCATTATAGGTTATTACAAGATATTAAATATAGTGCCCTGTGCTATACAGTATGCCCTTGTTACTTATTTTATGTAGTTTGTGCCTGTTAATCCCACACTCCTAATTTATCCCTCCCCCCAACAGCAATCCTTAATTACCATGACAATTCTACGGAATTTTACCAAAATGTGTTTAGCAAGGGCTTGGTGATAAAGCCCTTGCTTTTTAAAAGAACAAAGCAAACAAAAAAATTGTCCTTCTTAAGGTAGCTTAATGAGCACTGTAGTATCTTTTGTTAAATGTAGTATAAAAAGGGCTACAAAATCTGTAGAAAGAATAAGAATTTAGTATAATTGAAGAATTTAGTATCCCCTGATAGCAACTACATAAAGTCAAAAAGCTACAGAAGGAACAGTTGAGCAAATAAAGATCACAGAAAATTTTAGAAGCGTTATTTTACTCTAATTCTCAGTAGCAACCTCTGCTTTGATCTGGACAAGTCCCTCACTGTTGTGCCATTCTTGTTCTGAGTCTTCCTTTGCACACAACTATAGCGGCTCTCCATACTGCCTTTCCAAATCCTCAACACCTCTAGAAATCTCCCCAGAGATTTCTTGTTCATCACTCTACTTCTGATCTCTTGTCAAAAACTGAGAACTTAAATCTTATCAAAGAAATGTCTCTTACAGGTATACGCATTACTGAGTCCCTACACTGTTCACCTCAAACTCTCAGAACACTGTTTGTTAATCGGCTATACTCCAATACGAAATAAAAAGTTTAAAAAAAAAAGAAATGTGTTGTGTTGGTTTTCTCTGATCACCAGGGCTTTCCTCGTGGCCCAGATGGTAAACAATCTGCTTGCAACACAAGAGACCCAAGTTCAATCCCTGGGTTGGGAAGATCCCCTGGAGAAGGGAATGTCTACCCGCTCCAGTATTCTTGCCTGGGCAATTAGATGGACAGAGTCCATGGGGTGCAGCCTATGGGGTCAAAAAGAGGTGGACACAACTGAGCAACAACACTTTCTCTGATCACATTATAAATTCCTAAGGACATGGGCTATGTCATTTATTATTTCTGTAGGGTATAAGTAGCATTCTTTTTTCAAATTAATTCTGATTCCTTAGCATGGGCATAAAAGAAAAATATACTTTATGTCTCCAAGCCTGCTTCTACATGTAGTTAAGTAAACAAGTTTACTGAATTAAAAAATAAACAAAAAATCTAAGTTAATGCTCGCTGAAAAGCAACATGCTTATAGTATTTATGAAAGTAGGCAAAATACATATTCTGTAAATATAAATTTACATTTGTGAGAGTGTGGACTTTGTCCTATGTGACTGAAAAATGTCTTGAGAATGTTGTTAAGAGTAGGAATAACTGTCTGTAGTTCATAAATCTACGATTCTGGAGAAGTTAATGTTAAGAAAACAAAAAAGAAGGTAAGCGGCTGGTGGCTTGAAGATAGGAAACACAGTGTGGATAAAGAGGCAAGTGGTAAAGATGTTTTAGATATTAGTACTAAAACTAATTTTATTTAACATTTACATAAACCAAGTGAAGGGATAATCCCAAATTCCTGCAAATACTGAGACTGTCCTGTCAACAGAATGCATGAAGACAACAAAATAGTTGAAAAGCAGCTGGTCAGCTTAAACAATAATCCAAAGAAAAATGATATTTAAATAAAATAAATATTTTTGTCTCTTTGTTGATCAGTTGTAGGAGTTCTTTATATATTTTGGTTGGAAATGTTTGCTCCCAGTCTGTGGCTTGCCTCTTCACCATCTTAATGGGGTGTGTTTTTGTGTGTGTGGTAAAATGTAACGTAAAATTCACCTTTTTAACAATTTATTGGTGTATATAGTTCAGTGGCTTTGAGTACTTTCATGCTGTTGTGCAACCATTACCACCATTCATCTCCTGAACTTATCTTCCCCAACTGACTATACTCCTACATTCCTTCCACTTACAACAGAATTTTTTGATAAGCCAAATTTTTAATTAATTTTCTGTGTTTTTTGGCACAACATGTTCCCTACCCAGGGCTCAAACCAGTGCTCCCTGCACTGGAAGCAGGCCGTCTTTCCTGCTGGACGATCAGGGAGATCCCCAAATTCTAATTTTGAAGAACAATTTACCATTTTTAAAAGATTGTTTTTCCTTTCATGTCCTTTAAAAAAAATCTTTTGCTTACTCGAAGGCTGCTAAAATATTCTCCTATTTTCTACTAAAAGCTGTAGTTTAAGGTTTTATATTGATGTATATCATCCAAATTGAATTAGCATTTATGTAAGATATGAGATATGGCTCAAGGTTCCTTTTTTTTTAAATGATTCACTTTTTTAAAAAATTACTCATTTTCAACAGAAAAAATAAAATTTATACAGAAAAAATCCTGTTAACTGCTAATAAAGACAGTTTTCCATCTTCCTTTCTATGCTGGGTCTTTGTTGCTGCATGGGTTTTTCTCTATTTGCAGAGAGCGGGGGCTACTCTCCAGCTGCAGTGCATGGGCTTCTCGTTGCAGGGCACGGGCTCTAGGGAATGCATACTTCGGTAGCTGCAGTATATCGGCTAAGAAGTTGTGGCTCCTGGGCTCCAGAGCACAGTCTCAGTAGTTGTGGCGCAGGGACTTAGCTGCCGTGTGGCATGTGGGCTCTTCCGGGAGCAGGAGTTGAACCGGTGGCTCCTACATTGTCAGGAGGACTCTCTAATGCTGATTCAAAAGGGAAGCCCTCAAGGTTTAGTTTTTTCTTCCTATGAAGATATCCAGTTATTCTAGAACCATTCTTGAAATGAGCTATGTAAATGTAGATCTATTTCCGAATTCTACCCTATTCCATGGATCTGTTTATCTCAATATTGCCTGATAACTATAGCTCTATAGTAAGTCTTGAAATCAGGTAATACATTCAACTTTGTCCTTTTTTTCAAGACTGTTTTGACTACTTCATGTTCTTTGAATTTCTACCTACATTTTCAAATCAGCTGATTAATTTCTATTAAAACTTACTGGAGGTTTGATTGGGACTGTCATTTAGGAAGAATGCTCAGATTAACACTACTGAGTCTTCCAATCTATGAACATGGTTTAATCTCACCTTTTATTTAGGTATTTAGTTTCTCTCAGCAATGTTTATATATAAAGTTTTCAGTGTAGACGTCTTCCACACTATTATAAACAGCATTTTTAAGCTTTTATTTTCTAATTTTACTAGTATGCAAAAATGTTCTTTTCATATATTCATTATGTATCATGCATTCTCATTAAACTCAGCTGTAAGCTCTACAGTATTTTTGGTTGACTATTTTCTACAGAAAAATCCTGTTGGAAGGAGCCAAGATGGCGGAGGAATAGGACGGGGAGACCACTTTCTCTCCTACAAATTCATCGAAAGAACATTTGAATGCTGAGCAAATTTCACAAAACAACTTCTGATCGCTAGCAGAGGACATCAGGCGCCCAGAAAAGCAGCCCACTGTCTTCGAAGGGAGGTAGGACAAAATATAAAAGATAAAAAGGGACTCAGGAGAGCTACGGACGGAGACCCGTCCCGGGAAGGGAGTCTTAATAGAGGAAGTTTCCAATCACCAGGAAACCCTCGCACTGGCGGGACTGGGGGAAGTTTTCGGCAATCTAACTGGGAGGAAAAATTCAACAAGGCCCACAGATTACGTGCCTAAAAGCAACTCCCAGCAGAAAAGTACCCCAGACGCCCGTACCCGCCAGCAACAAGCGGGGGCGGGACGGAGAGGAGCGGGCGGCATTGCTTAGGGTAAGGACCGGCCCGAAGACCCTGAGAGCAATCGGAGGGAGCTTTTTTAAACTGTGGGATAGCAAGGGTCAAAATTAACAGGCCCGAACACACTGCTGGCGGTTGGCAAAACAAAGGGACTGAGAAAGTCCAGAGAAGAGCCGGCCCATCCCCGCTGGAGGTTGGAGGCAGGGCGGAGGGGAAAAGGGCAAACTCAGCCCCAGAGAAGCCACCCCCTCCCACACTGCAAACAGGCCCCCGGTTCCTATCTAAAGACTTCTGAGACCCGACTGGCGGTGCGCGCTGGGGCCGCGGAGGGAAAAAGCGCGCCGTACCCGGGGAGAGTGCGCCCAAGCCTCTGGCTGCCTGAGCTGCCCGCCGCGGAGGGAAAAGGCGCGCTGCACCCAGCGAGAGTACGCCCAAGCCTCTGGCTGCCTGAGCCGCTCACCGCGGAGGGACAAGGCGCGCCGTACCCGGGGAGAGTGCGCCCAAGCCTCTGGCTGCCTGAGCTGCCCGCCGCGGAGGGACAAGGCGCGCTGCACCCAGCGAGAGTACGCCCAAGCCTCTGGCTGCCTGGGCCGCTCAGGCCGGGGAAGGCACAAAACGCAGGCGCAACCGAATCTGCGCTTTTGTGGAGTACCTGAAAACTGGAACCGCACTCAACGCAGGGCCCGCTCCATATAGAGCAGCCGGGAGCCTGAGCAGTGTAGACGGCGAAAGCACTGACACCCGTGAGTGGGGCAAACCCAGTGTGACCGGAACACGGTGAGTGCTATCCACACAGAGCGGTATCTGTCTGCAGCGCCCCGCCCTCCCCGTAGCAGGACTAAACTGAACTAGAGAACCTAAATAAGAGATCACCTCCGCCCGCCTGTGTCAGGGCGGAAATTAGACACCAAAGAGACGGCAAACAGAAGCCAAATAAAGAAAGGGAACCGCTTCAGAAAGGACTGGTGCAACAGATTAAAATCCCTGAAGGTAACACCGACTACACAGGAAGGGGCCT